AATTGAAGATCTATTATTTTGCAGAAGAGAAGTAGGAATTCCAATTTCAGGAACCCTGGACGGACTTAGCATACCCCGGCACTACAAAAAGTTCGTCACATCGGGGTCTGAATTTTCGTCGCTAAAAGCAATGGCTCGATTACGGATAGCAAAGCAACCACGGCTCACTTGCCAGCTGGCAACGCACCTGGAAAGAAAATTTTTATTACCAATGCCAACTTTTGTTAGTTGCTGTATCGATAATCGCAATTTGACAGTTCGACAACCAGCAAGTGGCTGTAAACAAGCGGTGCGAGTAAAGTTAAATTATTAACATAAAGAGTTTTAAAGAAAAGACAGCAATAAAGCTAAGTTCATCACAATTATTTGTTTAAGAGGAAGAGAAGTGCATGAACGCGGCCTCAATTACGCGACTTTTAAAGAATAATTCCAATCCTCTTGAGCTACCGTCTTCACTGTAAGCAAAAGTTAATGCCTCCAAGGTTTTTCTTTTATTATCGTTTTGTGTTCATTTTAAAAGCACATTGAGGACATCCAAAAGAAGCTGTAGTATAATTGGTTAATAAACAGAACCGCTTCGTTCAACTTCAATACCTCCGCTCACAAAAGCTTGCGCACCTCTTCGATTTTTCGCAGAAGGAAGTGCCACAGCAATGACTTCAATTTGGAAAACTCGGTGTGTCGGCAGTTTTAAGAGGTGCTTCAGTTGATAAAGGAGAACATTTGCAATCAGTGTTCGATTTTGCTTCGCAGAAAGGGCGTATTCAACGGGAACTAAAATTTCAAGTTATTGTTTGGTTATTTTCACCATATTCTGTAAAAACAAATTTCATTGCAAAATGTTAATATCGTTCCAATTATTGAACAAACTTTTAAATTTTCGCTTCTAAAAACACTTCAAAAACCTTTCCAGCAACCAAAAAAATGTAGTTGCCCTTACACATACTTTTTAGCATCTGAAGCTTTCAGTTAAAAGTAGCCAGTTGCCATCTGCAATATTGTTTTGGCAACCAGCAGCGTAACTGAAGTTCGCTTGCTATCGAAAATCGATTCACAAATTCCTCAGCGCCGTTTGGTCCTTCTGCCTCCATTCCTAGGTTCTGATGGAGTTCCACGTTGGCGTTGCATTGTATTTCAGCACTGTAGTCACTGCGTCCACAGTCGGCCTAAGCGCACTGGCCTAAATTTTTTTCTTCTCTGTCCATATAGCGTTAAAAAAGGTTTTTTTGCTAATTTTTTAATATACAAAATGAATACACTGATTTTTATTAATTGTTTCTTTGAATTCACCGACTTCTATATTTTGCACCACAGCTAACAATGAAATAAAAATTTATTTGATGTATGTATGTACATATGTATGCGAGCGTACAATAGATAGTTTCTTTTCGATATGGTCAGCCGCCCTGCAAAAAACAGAATATCGGAAACAAACTATCGATTGTAGGCTCGCATACATATGTGCATACATACATACATCAAAGAAAATTTTACTTCATTGTTAGCTGTGGTGCAAAATAAAGAAGTCGGTGAATTTAAAGAAAGAATTAATCAAAATCCGTATATTCTATTTGTATATAAAAAAAATGAGCAAAAAATTTTTTTTAGCGCTATGTGGATAGAGAAGAAAACATTTAAGGCCAGTGCGCTTATGCCGACTGTGGAGTCAGCGATTTCATGTATTTTGGATATTTCACTAATTTATCAATTATTTAGAGGTTAGAATAGTGGTCAGCAAAATCACTAATTATCGCGATATTTTCCCAATAGCTTCATCGCTAAACTCACTTGTACATCACCAGCTAGATGACATGTGTGAGCGAGTGAACATACTGTAAGGCAACTGCGCCCGTGTGTATGCAAGAAAGGGATGCACTATCACACGCCCGGAGAAGTGGTCACTTTTTTCCCCAAGCCCATACAAAACTAACCGCTAAACTGACGAAAAGTTTTAGTCAGTTTTCCCAATAATTTAACCGATAATCATAGGTCAGGCTTCTTGCCAAAAGTATCGATAGTAAGGTACTTGTGTATCGTCCTGCCCTTGGGGCTCTGTCACACGGTCAGCAATTATCGTGATATTTGGTTCGCAATCCATATTGATGGATCGCGCACGAATGCTACATGTTCAATATTTATCGCGCGTCAGTATTTGCATAATTTTTGTGCTTAAAGCTTATCATGACGCAAGAAAATATTTTTATTTTGTACGTATAATTTACAGATAATGCATTCCACAATTATTTCAAAATTTCCAATGTTAATTAAAATTGGTTTTGAAAGATTTTAAGCCCCGAGAGCGAAGGCAGAGCCGATGTTCGCATTATGAGAGTAAAAGATGTACTGACGAAAGTTCAATATTTATTGACGGTATTGCGATCCGCGATCCAGATTTCAAAACTTTTAGAAATTTTGCGATATGGATCACGATCCATCAATACTGCATGCTACTCCGTCA